TAACTCTAATGGATTGCTCGTGTCATTGAGTTACCTCACTTATGGGTAGGTTCTTACGGTGTCCAATTGTGTGGACGAGGTTCGTGCAACACCTTTATCCGCCGAACCACCAGGTGTTGGTTGACACAACGGGGACTAGCGTGCCGACAAGCACGTGAACCTCGGGAGAAAAACATTGGTTGTCTCTTGCCCTTTGGTATTCTCCTGGTGATTAAATTAGTATTCATCTTGTGATTGGTTCACTCCTCTATGCGGCGGTATAATCACCTTACTTACTCATTTACATTCCTACAAACTAGTTGTAGCAAGCTCTTTAGTGTAGCTAGAATTGAGAGCTTGCTTTGTAGCTTAAGTTCATCTAGCGGAGCTCTTTAGTGTAGCAAGTATGAGAGCTCTTAGTGAGTAGTGACTTATTAAATTGTGTGTCTAGTGATCATAGTAACTAGAATTATTAGATAGGTGGCTTGCAGCCCTTGTAGAGCTAGAGCAAGCTTGCATTTCGCTATTTGTCATACTAATAAAATTGCTCTAGTTGGTTTATAGATTTTTAAATAGGCTATTCACCCTAACTCTAGCCATATTAGGACCTTTCAACTTGTCCTCAAACTGTCGAGCAGCCTCCTGAAATAGATCAAAGTTATCCTTCACACCATCCTTCTAGAGTAGATTCTCGGCAAGGTGCCGAGTACACCAACGATAGTGCAAAGGTGCATACCCCTCTATCTGCTCTCGCACAGCATTAAGTATGCCCTGGTGCCTATCAGATATGACGCCAATCTCCCTGCCAGGTACAACCACATGTATCCGGACTAGCCTCAAGAACCATCCCCAACTGTCAGTGTTCTCCTTCTCAACCAAAACAAATGCCAAAGGAACCAACTTGTTGTTCGCGTCACATGATATGGCTGTAAGAAGTGTGCCCTGGTATTTACCAATCAAGAACGTACCATCAATGGAGAAGATGGGACGACAGTGCCTAAAGGCCTTGACACACTGAGGGAAGCACCAGAAAGCACGGAAGAATATCTGCCTCCCATCCTTCCATGCATTTGGTTTTGGGATGTACTCATAATGCATGCCTAGATTCACCGCTTTGATTGCATTGAAAAGTACTGGCAGCTACTCATACCAATCCTCCCAGTCCCCATATATCATCTTCCACGCTCGCTGCTTAGCCCTCCAAGCTTTACCATAAGTAATCACATAACCTCCATACAACGCCTCAACGGTCCTGATAATTGTCCTAACCTTCATGTTGGGTTCTCCCTGCAATATTCCTATCAACTGTTTGGCAATGAGGATAGATATAAACTGCCGATGCTTCAGTGTCACCACATGGTCAGCACAATTGTGTGGCCCGACAACTTTTGTGATCTTTCACTTTTCGGTGACCTTTTGCTTCCTTGCACAAATCCTCCATGGGCAGCGTTTCTTGTCACACACAACTAACATCCAACGCACAACCACGTTCAAACTTTGGAACTGTCACTTCATAGCCGATCTCACATAGTTCTCCCACTGGTCTGCACACCCAATTGGGATCATCTTCCTTAGGATATTAGGAGTGGAACCTAGGTATAGTACAGCCTCCACTGCGATGCCATCATCATCATCAGCTCCATGGCAATGTAGCTCCTCCTGAGCCCTTGCAACCAACTCACTAAATGAAGGTTTCTCATTGAATAACACAGGCATGCTTTGCATCTTAACAATTTCAATATATCCATAGCGATCTCTTTCCACGGTGCCTCCATGATATATACTCACTAGGTTGTCCATCTAGTAGTTCAAACAAAAATTAAAATATAGTTCGTTTAGTCCAAAGTAGCTGCTATATAGTACCTCTCTAATAGATACTAACCAACTACACCCTAAATAACTATGTCACTAACTATCTAACTATATTTATCTAACTATATTTATCTCACTAACTAAATCAACTAGCTATCTAATAACTATATCTATGTACCTATGCCTCTAGCTATCTAACTATATTTATCTAACTATATCTATCCCACTAACTAAATCAACTACCTACATCATCAAATTTACTAGAAACTACCAAATAATCAAAAGTAGCACTACAATTCAAGCTAACTAAGTACCTACATTGCATATTCAAAAATTTTCCCTGTCCAAGTCAATAACGATGCGACGCGTACGCTGGGCCTGAGCAGGACGGGGACGCGGAGGATGGGATCGACGGCGAGGTCGCGGCGCGCTGGGAGCAAGGGCCGTGTCGTGGCCGGGGTCGCCGGAGGGAGCGCCTATGCGCGCGGCGGACGCGGCGAGCCAGGACAGACAAGGTGCCGCGGGCTGGGAGGGGCGGCGCGTGGCCGGCATGGCAGGGGCCGGTGCAGGCGCGGCCAGGGAGGGGGGGCGCGTGGCGGGCGCGGGACGGTTGGCGCTCCGCGTGGCGAGGCGGCGTGAGCGGGCTGGGGCCACGGGCGGCCGGCACGACAGGGGCCGGCGCGGCGCGGGCCGCAGACGGCCGGGGCTACGCGCGGCGGTGCGGCAGCGCTGGCGGCGCCCTGGCTCGGGAGCAGTAGAGAGAGAGGAAGAGAGAAAGGAAGGGAGGACCCATACGTAAGATAGAGCTTGGCACCAGTAACCACACCGCTAAGCTCGACGTTAAGATCTACGGCGCCAAGGTGCCTGACAAGTCACCGCCACGTCTGCATTGAGCCCAAGACCTAGGCGTCAAAATATATGACGCCGAGACGTGTAAGCTCGGCACCACCAACGATGACGCCGAGCTAAGGATCTAGATTTTAAAAGCATACCAGTAGGGGCATATTTGTGAAAAATTTCAAAAAAAAGAGCTAAAAAAAATTCAGGTTCCTAAGTGACTTTTGACTTTTGAGAAAACATGAACACGCATATGCATGCGTCGATTTCGACGGACGGCGCCCGTAAGAAGCCGTCAACCAGATGCCAACGGAACATCCGGCGCTGTATCCTACCCTACAGGCTAGTATATATAGGAGTATCTCACGTTGGCAATTGGAGTACTTTGTTGGTAGACATTACGTGAGATATTGCTACTATGGCTATTTATGGAAAGACGTGTTCTGCGGTAATAACTTGTATATTTGATGGTGACCATTTGTATATTATCTGGTTACAACGTCAAGCCATACCACTGCTAAGTGCACCATTTCACAAAGATTTTTCCCAATATAGACTTAATTCTACTCCACCATTTCACGAAGATTATTCCCATAACCATCTTTAAAAGTAAGTATAAGATTTTAATACTTTCTTGTTTAAATGATATATATTAATAAAAAACTGGAACAGAAAAATAACTTTCAGAGCTTTTTACTTGGAATTTTCTGGCTAAGGCTGAGGTACATTTATTCGATAATTTTTTATGTAAATTTTATTTAGGAAATACTATCAAAACATGTCCTTGTGAATCATGCACATAATGATACCTTATGATTTCTGCATTTTTTTTCCATTGCATTGCGACAGGACATATATTCAAACATTTACTTTACATCAGATTTGATGTTCAGAAATGACGCGACAAGTAAACCTGACAGGCTTTATCCAGCTCAAAATGCACGTTATTTTTTTTTTACGGCAAAAAATGACGTTAATTTTAGCCATGCACAATACCAAGCATTCCCCCATGCTTTTTCCAAGCACTTTGCAAAATGGCTGTTGCTAAAAAATGTTTTACTTGCAAAAGCTTATATGTAAACCGTAGTCTACATGCAGAATAACGCGGAACAAAAGGGCAAGTTTTACAAGATAAGATACGAAGTTGACAGCGCTTTTGTCCACGAAAGTTCTTCTTTTTAATTAGTTGTGTCACTTTTTATGACTGTGTTTCTTTCTAAAGCCTAGGCAATAGGCATCAAAGTATCAAACCTCATCTGAAAGAAAGAGATCTAGGAGCCTCAATGCCTCATCCCTAGTAAACGGGTCCTCAACTGATGCAAGATCTAGGAGCCTGATTTATTGATTTTATGTGTCTCCCAATTTAGGTCATGCCCACAAGGAAAAGGATGATCACATATGAGAAATACTCGCATTCTTGAGACCTTGGATTTGGCTTTTTTTTTCTCCTTTGTTCATTGGCTTTGAGATGAAAAAATTTAGTATTTGCAACTCCTCTGATGTCAATTATGCATAAGGCTTTCCTTTTCCTTGCCCTTTTAATTTCCACATCCTACTTCCTACCACACGTAGCTTGAGGGCGGACCGCAGACGGTATTCTTCCCTGTTTTCGCTGAAATTTGACTGATGCTGTTATTGATGCTGATTTCTTGTGATAGAAAAATACTATTCTTTCGCTAAAAAGTACTGCTAAAATAGTGCAGAAGAACAGGGCTGTGTTAACTATTAACATTATTTAGTAACAATATATTAGTTCATTTCATAAAAAAACAATATATTAGTTCATCGATCATATTTGTCAAATTTACGTGTTCCTCCTGTTTACTATTATCTTTGATGTTCCTTGTCTTACCAAAATTGTTACATATGCCTTGTTTAGATTGCCTCCAAATTTCAAGTTTTTTCACTCTCTCTCCATCACATCAATTTTTAGACGTATGCATGGAGTATTAAATGTAGATAAAAAAATAACTAATTACACAGTTTGGTTGTAAATCACGAGACGGATCTTTTGAGCCTAGTTAGTCCATGATCGGACAAAGTTTGTCAAATACAAACGAAACGTGCTACAGTGTTCAGATTGCAAAAATTTGCAATCTAAACAAGGCCCTGATACAAGACGCACATGTTAGAACACTCAAAGGCTAGCTAGTAGGCTACCTTACGTATTCCAACTGACTAATGTACCAGCAGAGTAAAGCAGGCAGCTTGAGCATCTTCCATAAGTCCCTATATATATATATATAGAACCTCTTGTTCATGAACCCTCTCACCCAATCACTCGTACATATAAGAGTTACTTTTTTCTGAGAGATCAATCAGATCTTTGTAATCGTCGTTAGCTTCTGTGTCTTTGGTCATTGCTCAGGGGCATGGCTCGGCCTTGGTCATCAATAGTTTTGCCTTTTGGTCTCATCGCCTTGGTGTTTGCTTGTGTTGCTCAAGCTTCGATCGTGGAGCACACCTTCAATGTAATTGATGAGTACAACATACCATGCTTGTACGAGATAGGAAGAACTTCATTATTTGTTAGGTTCATGCATGCATGTATATAGTCTGTGTATACTAATCAGAACAAAATCTTTTATCTACAGTAACCCCTATCTTGATTTGGTTATATACACTAATTAATAGTCATTATATATGTAGCATCGCCGATCCAATCCGGTTAGGATGATTAATCACTAACTAATTCTGTTTTTTTTCGTTGTGCTACGACTTGTGTCAGGTCGGAAACCTTTCTATAAGCCAGCTTTGCCAGCCGCCAAGGATCATCACGGCGGTGAACGGGCAGCTCCCCGGCCCGGCCATCCATGCCCGCGAGGGAGACACTGTGGTTGTTCACCTCGTGAACCAGTCACCCTACAATATGACCATTCATTGGTAAGTACACTGTCAAGCTAGGCTACCGACTTTTCTCGCATCTATCAACACCAACATCTCTTTCGATTTTTTCACTATCGGCAATAGTATGATACCAGGAAGAAACCACCACTTCTCTTTATAGGAAGATAGAGATTCGTGGAAACCATTACAATACTAAATGGGTCTCATGTGGCTGCAGGCACGGCATATTCCAGCGCGGCACGCCGTGGGCGGACGGGCCGACGATGGTGACGCAGTGCCCCGTGAAGCCGGGCGGCAACTACACGTACCGCTTCAACGTGATGGAGCAGGAGGGGACGCTATGGTGGCACGCCCACATCTCCTTCCTCCGCGCCACCGTGTACGGCGCCCTGGTCCTCCGCCCCCGCGGCGGCGCCGAGGCCTACCCGTTCCCCACCAAGCCCGACAGGGAGGAGACCGTCATCCTCGGCGAGTGGTGGAACGACAACGTCTACTACCTCGAGCAGATGGCGTTCCTCACCGGGTTCACGGCGCGCAACGCCGACGCCTACACCATCAACGGCAAGCCGGGAGACTTGTACAACTGCTCCAACGGGAACCGTACGTACGGCTTGCTAGCTAGCTCATCGATCTGCTTTCTTTTCTTCGGTAAATCAACGTACGGATCGGACGTGCAGAGACGTACAAGTTCCAGGTGCAGAGCAACGAGACGTACCTGCTCCGGATCATCAACGCCGCGCTCAACACGCCGCTCTTCTTCAAGGTGGCCAACCACAGGTTCACAGTGGTGGGTGCGGACGCGGCCTACACCACGCCGTACGAGACCGACGTGGTGGTGATCGCGCCCGGGCAGACCGTGGACGCGCTCATGGTCGCGTCCGCCGCCGTCGGCCGCTACTACATGGCGGCGTCCCCATACGACAGCGCCATCCCGCAGGGGCCGCCTTTCAGTGAGACCACCGCGACTGCCGTAGTCGAGTACGTCGGCTCGGAAGGCGAGGAGACGCCGGTGCTGCCGTCCCGGCCGGAGTACAACGACACGGCCACAGCCTTCCGGTTCCTCTCCAACCTGACGGCGCTGGTGCTCCCGGGCAAGCCCACGGTGCCGCTGTCGGTGGACACCCGCATGTTCGTCACCGTGGGGCTCGGTGTCTCCGACTGCCAGCCGAGGCAGCTGCTGTGCAACCGGAGCACCACAGTGTTCTCCTCGAGCATGAACAACAACTCCTTCGTGCTGCCTGCCCCAGGCGCGGTCTCCATGCTCCAGGCCCACTACAGCGGCGCGACGGCGGGCGTCTACACCCGCGACTTCCCCGACCGGCCGCCGGTCGTCTTCCACTACACTGCCGATGCCAGCGACACCGCCTCGTTGCCGTACACGCCTAAGTCGACCAAGGTGAAGACGCTCAGGTACAACGAGACGGTAGAGATGGTGCTGCAGAACACACGGCTGATCGCCAAGGAGAGCCACCCCATGCACCTCCACGGCTTCAACTTCTTCGTGCTCGCGCAGGGCTTCGGCAACTACGACGAGGCGACGGCGACGCCTCAGTTCAACCTCGTCAACCCGCAGGAGCGCAACACCGTTGCTGTCCCCACGGGCGGATGGGCTGTCATCCGCTTCGTGGCAAACAACCCTGGTATTACCCATATATGCTCCAGCTTTTTTTCCCCTTTTCAAAGAATATCATATATTTGCATCTGTAGGAATGTAGGTAAGACTCAAATTTTGTACTGTGTCTATTTGCAGGGATGTGGTTCATGCACTGCCACTTTGAAGCCCATCTTGATCTGGGGCTGGGGATGGTGTTTGAGGTACAGGACGGGCCGACGGCGGAAACATCGGTGCCGCCACCTCCAGCAGACCTACCACAGTGCTAACTGCTAAGTGCTAACCATCGTCGACAACCAACCGTGATTGTTTGAATTGACCAATTGCGTGCGGAGATAGATGGATTTGTCAACAGAAAAAAAAATCAGGAGCTTGGCGTGTGCTATACGATGGGATTTTAACATTGTTGTCTGTTATATATGTTGTGCTACTGGTAGTTGCATACTTGCATAGATATGATTGTTTAGTTTGGCGCATAAATAAATGGCTATGTCAGTGAGTGAGAAGCTCTTGGACAAATGGACTGTATGTTTCAGTAATCACGTTTGATTAAACCCCTATTTATTTACTTATTATTCGCTTGGGCCTGGCCATATTTCATATAGTCGCACAAAGCACAGTAGAACGTTGTTGGCTATATTTAACTATTCCTAATCTGATAGTATGTTTAATTAGTTTATTTAATAAATTATACTATTAAATATATCCGTATGTTGTAACAGAACATTCGGCTTGTTTCGAGGTTACTCTAGATCACTCATATTTAGATATTTATTTAGCTATCACGTTATGCATTTAACTTAGGAAGGGAATTGAACTCTGTAGTTTGTCTGGACATGTGCCGCCCTAATTCGTATAGGTATGGGAGGCTTAAAGATTTACTAATAATCATGGTCAGCATATGCGTGTTAGTGTTGTGGCTTATGACTTTCGAACCCTTTTATGCCTTTGATACCACCCATGGTAACGCACTAATAGACCTCACTGTTGACTCACGTTGGATTCAATCGATTGCTTTCCGCATTTCTAGCCAAGTTTCAGCCCTATCCTTCTGTTCTTTATGCAGTAGTTGATTGTTTATGTGTTCCAATTTATTTTAGGATTAGACTCCGCACTACGTCCGAACACTTTCCTCGTACGAGTACGGGAGAGTCATGGAAATGCTTCGTATTCCAATTCGTTTTTAAACAGACTCTGCACTATTTGTAGACACGCGCTACTACTCTAACTTGTACACGCACAAGAGAGATTTCTGAGTCTGTCTGATATGAAGGATGAAAAAACTTTTCCCTCTTTAATATAATACTAGCAAATATGCCCGTACGTTGCAACGGGAAGTATAACATGCGGAGTCACTTGGACGAACTGCGGCTTGGAAGTTTATTCAACAATTGCTTCATGCGGTTGAAATTCATCTTAGAGTTAAATTTCGTACCATGCCAAATGCCGAACACTTTTGGGCATAGGACGCTTGGAGATCTACTATAGCTGGAACGGCCCGGAGGAGCAGGCCATGCCTAGGCCTTACCCCAGGCACGTGGGCCGGCACGGCAAGGCCTAGTCCACAGCGCATGGCCTGGTGGAGGCCCGGCCCGCCCCTACCCCAGCCCCCACCCCCCGAACTGTCGAACCCTACCTATCCCTTCCCCTCCCCCGCGCAGCCCCCTCTCCACGCCACAGTGCTGCTGCCGCACTCGCTCCTCCTCCTCCTCACCTCTGCGCCAGCGCCGCGGACGCCCCCACCCTTCCCTCGCGTCGGGCGAGGCAAGCACGAACGCGGGACGCCTCCTCCCTCTCCTCGGCGTCATCGGCTCCTCGCGCGACCTCTCCTCTCCTCCGGCCGCCTCCTCCACAGCTCCCGCCACACTGGCCGACGCCTGGCGACTTCAAGCACGACGGCGTCGAGCGTGGTGGCCAGCCTTGAGCAGCTCCGCCGGATCCAACTTCGAGGGCGTCAGCCTCCTCCACCGCTCCACGCCTCCTGCTCCTGTGGATCCGTGTCGAGCTCCTCGGTGGCGAGCGCGCCGGCCTCCTCCAAATCCGGCGTCGATCTCCTCGGCGGCGAGCGGCGTCGACCCCCTACACCTCTCGGGCTCCCCTTCGCCCTCCCCCACTCTCTCCGTCGGCAGCCAGTGGGCCTCTGGCTAGCACGGCCTGTGAAATTGGCCGTGCTTCTTGGGCGGGCCCGACACGAAAATTGGCCCATAGTGCCATGCCTGGGCCGGAGGCCAGGCCTGTGGCCTTACGAGGCACGACCCGGGAGGCACGGCGTGCCGTGCCGGCCCAACCCCTATCCGGCTGTGCCGGGCTGGCCCGGCCCGGCCCGGCCCGTTGGCCATCTATGGGTTTCTCGTGAAGCAAGTCATCATCATGCATCCAAAGGTCAATTGTTAGTGGCAGCAACTATGCAATCGTGTCTGTTAATTTCTTTTGACGTTTCTCCTCCTCGCATGCTGATCAGCACATGCAAACGGCTGAAGCAACTCCCTGTATCAATTTTCTATTGCGCTTCTCTGCGATCGTGACTCCTACACTCCTTCATTGGCACACATCCTGATTTGAAACGCCTTCCCCTATTGGCGCACATCCTGATTTGAATACTCCCCATCCGTGCTACCTGGTAGCCAAGGGGTCACTTTTTACTGCATAGAGTCTATTGGCGCGGGTACGCAAAAAAGATGGAGACCGGAGCGCTGCTGACTATACGAGCCTACCGGCCATGCCGGCGCAGCCACCCACGCCCATGTCTCAACCTTGGGGCTGATCAAAGCAGCGAGGGGGGATGTGGGATTGGCGTTGAGCTCCAGTACTCCAGGACATCCGCGTCGCAGAAGACGCAGAGTCGCTATACGCGCCAGGCGGTGAACTCGAACCAGGGTCCGCGCTGGGCGGCGATATGGCCATGATCGTCGGCTTGAGTTCCTACCTGTTTGTGGCAGAGGGACGGATGGCACCGCTACGGGGTTATCTACAAGTCCACGAGATCCACCGTCCACGTCGTCAGAGAGGTCGGCAATAATATCGGAGATGGAGCCATCGGTGCCGAAGGCGCGGGGATTGATTTTGTCTGATACTCTGCTGCGGCCTGAGGGTAAGGGTATATTTTTTGGAAATGGATGCCAGCTTTTGCATACCAAGCAATTGGACCTTTCCTAAGAGAAAGACCCACCTTACTGTTGAGGTTAGTCAGAACAACTCTGACGATGAAGACTGCTACTTAGGTCGAGTAGTACCGCCGTCATCCATGTCAATCAAGCGATACATGCTACCATGGATTCTCTCCCTCCTTTCTATGGTTTCTATATTTACACAGAGTTGTTGATTTTCAGGTATATGCTAATTCATAGGCGGTACATTATTCCTATATATGTACTCTATTTGCTTGATTAATAATATCTCTCACTAATGAAATTATCATATGACTATCTTTATTTTTTTTTTCAGAAAGATATACCTCTGATGAATGTAAAAAATAATCATGTATTGAGGTTTATTTGGATTACTGTATGCTCAAAATTATCTATACTAAATAAGAGATTTGTGATGTCTGGAACTCTACAAGATCCTTTGAGCTCAAAGAAAAGAAATGTGTTGTATAATTTGTATCAATGATTCAGACATCTCTACTCCTCAAACTTGGCATTAGTTGCCGTGTCATTCATGGTTATCTCTTTCCTCTCCTGCATTCAATATCCCTTTTTTATGGTGTTGCTCCTTTTCCGTTTCTTTTTCTTTTTTTGCAATCAGTAGCTTTTTCCTAATGCCATTGTTTCTCTTTGATTACTATTACCAAATTCACACTATTTAACATGTGCATGTTTTCTTTGAGGGTTTCACTATTTCTTGCTCCACGAGTCCTTTTGTACAACATTACAAAATTCCCACGGCAACGCGCGGGGTATTATCTAGTTTATCCAATAATCATGTCATGCATTACGATTCTTTTTGGAGTCAGACTCAACACTGTATCTATAATTGTATCATGTATTCCAATTTATCTTGGAATTGGATTCCATACCTGGACACGTTTTTTTTTATAAAACTGAGACACGTGTTGTTCTAATTCGTATAGGGATAGAATTGAGTCTTGAAAATTTATCTAATTGCCGTATTTTGCGATCTAATTCATATGGGGTTGAGACTTTTGCATCGTGCCAGGAAGCTGGACGGTGTGTCCTAGTGATTAAAGAAGAAGAAACACTTTTGTCTACAATAATATAAAAAAAACAAATAAAGATAGGTATATGCATAAATTCTAGGTACTAAACGTGTATCGATCGATCGGAATCATGTTTTTTTTAAAAAGAACTTCTGTTACATGGACAAGGACCTACGTAAATAAAGCCCCATTTGGACACTTACATATCATACCCACGAAATCCTACACAAACACGTTTTATTTGTTCTGGCTTGATACCGTGTTTGAGGAGGAATTTGATTTGACTGCGCGTCAGCTAAACCGCATGGACGTACCAACGTGAGGGTAATTATGAGAATCGGACTATGTATGATCGCTAGATGCGTGTTGTATATAAGAGCACACTTGTTTAATACACGACCCAATACGTTTTAGAATCGGATTTCGTATCACGCTAGACAAGAGCTATTCTAACTCTTTTGACCATGGTTATATATAAATCTAGAGGGAAGAAACTCTTTATTGTGCGATAGTTAGAGGGGATGGACAAAAAAGAAAAAAGATGGACCAAACAAATAGACTAAAATTTTGTCTCTTTATTATTAGGTATAGACTAGCAAAAATGCTCGTGCGTTGCGACGGGACTATAATTTACTGTCCCATCGACGACGAGAGTGGTAGCATGACAAAACTGCGTGTGGTATAGCGGCCCCTGCGAGGTAGCTTAAACCGGTGGCATGACAGCACGCGCGTGCGATGTCACCGGCCACGAGGCAGCCTGTCGGCCTGTTCGCTGGTTGATTTCTGGGCTGATAAGCTCGACTGATGCTGGTTTATTGTGAGAGAAAAACACTGTTGGCTATCTAATAAGCCCTGACTGAAACCAACAAACGAACAAGCTGTGTGTCGGTGGCGTGGCGGCCATCGTGCAAACGTGGGCCAGCACTGCACAACGACAAAGTGGGCGGCATAGTACCCATGCGGACACGACTCCTACAATGGAGCGGGCGTGGCCTGACGGCCGCAGTTGAGCTGACGCACAACTTTGACGATGCCCTTAGCGATCAAGAAAAGTGGTGGGCGTAGAGAAGACATGATTGTGCTATCGAAGCTAGTGATGACTCAGTAGTT